GCGTTTGGTTTTGACTGCGTCAAGTCAACTCTTTGCCTGTGACGGCTGGCGTTATTTTTTTTTCTCCTGCCTCCAATTCAATCCGAGGTCTTCCTTTTCCCTTCCGAAAGTTTGCGCTTTTTTTCCAGTTGTTCATGCTCATGGTTGTTGTAAGGAAGATGAATCGAAAGAAACCCTCATAATGCCTTCAGAAGACCTGCAAAACAGCATTGAAGGTCGTTGTAATCGAGTCTGTCCTTCCAAGTTCAGTCACACTTAGCCAGCATTACAGTTAGTTATCACCCCAAAGGCAGTCAACACTGGGACGTGCGGAACTCGACTACACTCTCTTCGTCTTTACGGAACTCTGGGTTCCGTTGTCAGTGCGCTCCTTTGTTGCCAAATTCACCCAGTTCCCGTGTTAATGGCTGATTCATGTAGACGCGTCTGAGGTAATCAACTATCTCATTTGACAGGTCCGATGTGTGGGCATTTGGGGTCGTGCTTTGGGAACTGGCTACTTACGGTCTCTCTCCCTATCCTGGTGTGGAACTACACGGTGTCTACCAACTTCTGGAAAAAGGTTACCGTATGCAGCGTCCGCACGGCTGTCCTGAGTCTGTTTACAGCATCATGCTACGATGTGAGTCACTGTTTTATTCCTTTTGTTTCATTAGTTTGGTTCTTTAATCGTGGCCCCTCTGGTCTTTCCTTCTAGGCTGGTCCTGGGAGGCAGCTGATCGTCCAACATTTTCGTCAATCAAGGCAGAATTGGAGGAAATGTGGCGAACCATTGATATGGCTGAGGGTGAGTGTTCTATTGGAGATAAAGTTGTAAGTCATACAACTGTGCCAATAACTTTCTGGCCGACGGCAAAAATAGCTTTTTGTTAAACTCTTATGGGTTAAAAAGCACCTCACCTCCCTCTTATCATCGCGTCCGGCAATCTTCGTCGCAATGCTGAAGTGTTAATCGTAATCAATCCGAGGATGGGTTCATTGGGGAATGGTTCCAAATGTCTACGCGATGCTCTGCAGCATCACATTCCACATGCAATCCGTACGGAGAAAAAGCCCTGTTTTCAATACTCAATGGAGAAGTAGCACCTCAGAATTGCTTCTCCATCTACTCCTATTCAGTCGACTATTCACTTACTACTTTGTCTCTTACCCTTTGGACGTCCTGAGGTTACTGTCAAAGCTTAGTGGAGTTCCGGTGAGCCTTCCGGATTAAGCCGTCGCTCAGATTGGGTCCTCATTTAGCAGAAACGGAATCTTCGGCATTTTGGCCTAGCGCACCAACATTAGCACCCTTTTTCAGGATAGTCGCATAAATGGAAACAGCTTCAAAATTGTATGACTTGAATTAGGTCTCCTGGGGAGCACGAAATAATTATCATGTCTCTCCACCTTGCCTAGCTGGAAGAGAGGACAACTACTCAAATACTTGAAGGCATTATTTCTTCCGCTCGCACTGACAGCTACCTTCTATCTTCTTCCCCCTTCTCCTTCCCATCCCCACCGTGACTCATTGTCCTTTCGTCACTCCGTGGAATTACCTTGGTGCTGGCGGTTTGAACAAAACCTTTACCACTCCCGCAGTTCATAGTGTAGGAGAGGAGATCTGGGACTTAGCTTGCAGAAGCCTCCCTCCCCTCCTTGTTCAGTTCTTGAGGTCAAGCTATGCCATATGGCAGCCTATTATCCCCCTCTAAATTTACCTTTTCTCAAGTCGCCTTTTCGGTTGTAAGTAGTATCGTAGACACTTATTTTCTGGCTAAGTTTTGGGACTATTGCTTTGTGCACAAACTTCCCCTTTAAGCTTTGAACCGCCATTTGTAATTGTGGTTGCCAAAACGTTTGGTTTCTGACCAAATTCCTGACAATTTTGTCTACGCATATTTGCGCACAGCCTTGTTCGTTAGACGCATAGTTTCGCATATTACTTTCAAATAAGCCATTGTATAGGTCAAGATTAATGTTTGTCCTGCGTCATAGTAGGAAGCTAATTGCATTCCTCTCTTCGGTGCGCATCCGACTTTAAAATTAGTTACACCTTCTAAATTCCGCTTTATGTATTTGGCAAACCCGTTTCCTCAGACAGCTCATACAATGAAAAGGACAATAGTCATCCATCCACTTTTCATCCAACCTCCTATAAAACTTCTGTCTTAAAGTTAGGCATGAGGTGTAGGAAACACTTTTGACCTTACCATCGCTAGTACCGTCTCGTTGAAATTGCTTCTGGTAGACAGTTGAATCTGTCCCAAACTCCACAAACGCGGCTACGTTACCGTAGTGCTAACAATCTAATCCTCTTCTGGAAATTCTGTTCCTGTGAATTTGTAGAAAAGGCTCATGAGTCGAATGTGACCGGCCTACATATCTGTGCAATGAGCTCTAAATGTCGAATGACGCACTTCGCTGAGCAAGTTGATGCCGAGCCCATGCAGTTGCACGTTTTCGATTTGCGGTGGGAAAAAGATTTACCATATTCACGGGTATTCCAGCAGGCGCTCTGCAGGTTGGATGGACAGTAATAAATTGGAGTTCCAATTTCTTCATCTTGTCCATGTTATTTTGGCTTTGGTTGGAGGTTAAAAAGGGCAAACGGTCTACCGATTTTATATCCGTTTTAAATGGTAGAAGAAGGATGTCGGTTGCAACATCACTTATTGCCTTTATGTGAAGTTAACTGTTAAACTGGCATGGATTCACACCGAAATGTGTTGGGTGGTATTCTCCCCCTCCTTCTCCTCCTCCTCCCCCCCCATCCATCAGGTATTTTTTGGACAGAGTGGGCGTGACCTTACTCATGACCTCACTTTTGGCGGCATGTGTGGTCGGTGAATCAACATGATTCCATCTCCTGGAGTTGTAAGGGGATTGAAAAAATTGAGTGTGGTTGCTTTGGCATGTGGACGAGGAATTTGTGGAGAAACTTGAGAGAGGCTCAGTTGAAGGGGCAAACCTTGAAGCCTCTCTCAAGAAGAGTGGCGATTTATTTTATTGGATTGTTGTTGTAGCAAACACAAATTCGAGGTTGGCATCCTTCTTCTCACCTCTTTGTCTTACAGCTGTAGCTCAAGAGTTGGCCACTCAACCACCTGTAGTTCAAAACACGGACCATATGCAGTTCATTACTGCCACCTCTACCACGACCACGACCACCACCACTGTCGGTGTTGGTCCTGGCGCCGATGGTGGGGGTGAGGCAATGATGTCCTCTGTTCCTGTCTCCATGATTTTGCGTATGCCTTCATACCACCAAAATGACGGCGGAGGCACTGACAATCATTCTTCGCCCTCACAATCCACCTCCTCCTGCACCTCTTCCTCTTCTGCGGCTGCTTCTTCTTCCGGTGCTGCTGAAACTGATGGCCAAGAGGGAGATGATGAAGGCGAGGGAGACCTACGCCTCAAATCAATTGTTGATAAGGGTAAATTTGTGATCTCGTTCTTTTTTTCCCATATTTCACTGTATACCTCATTCGAAGGATGTTACATGCATAAAGTGCAATGCGTAAGAGGGTTAGTGGATTCATTTAATTATTCTGTACTCTCTTTGAATAAAAAAAGAGATGATTGGGGCTGACATTCTGGCTCATGCATATCCGAAAATGTTATTATTCCTTCCCCTATCACCGTCCGCTTGGTCTTTACGTTGACCTTTTCATTACCATTGAAAAACGCATGCAATTCATAGTAGCTATTCCCTCTCTAACACTACAGTCTCGTGAATATTTAGTGATCCAGGTATCTGGGAGCGATTTTGATTGAGCATCACTTGATGGAAAAGCACATTTCTGTCCCTCCAATAGGAGAAGAAAAAATGAGTGGCTATGCTTTTATCAATAGACGCTTTGAACTCAGCAGCCGATTGGAGTACAACACGGACCTCGGATGGTTTCTACCAGGGCGATTACATAGTCAGTGGTAGTGGTGGTGGTGGTAGCGGTACAGGTGGTGGTGTTGTTCGGGTTACACCTGCCTCTGATTTGCCTCTTGCTACGCACAAAACTACTGCTCGTGATAGCCAGCTCTCCGCTCCTGCTTCCCTCCCTCCCCTGCACCACCTGCAACAGTTCCAACATCATCACAATAGGGCCAACAATCACAGCCATCATCACCACCGCCATTATCAGCACCAAATTCAGCACTCTGAGACTGGACGGAGTGTGCCTAGACGTCGAAGTGGACCCAATCATCCGGTCAAGCATATTGGTGGGTGAAAAATGTTAGTTAAGAATATTAAGTAGCATAGATTTTCACCTATTTCCTTGTTGGCTTACAGAAGAAGGCTCGTTGCGTTGTCCAGTGCGACCAAAGGAGAAGAATATAACACCAGCAGAGAGCGGTGTAGGCGAGTCAATAGTTTCAGCAGACTCACCAGGTGGGGATGGCAGCGCAAGGCAACAGGAAGAAAGGGCGGTGGGGATGGCTTCGAAACGAATTAGTGACAGAGCGGCTGGGGCGGTGACTACGACGTTTGAAGGGAGCAATTCTTGTGTTACACCTACAAGGGAAGTGGCACCTGAGGTGGCCTCCGATGATAGGGTAGAGAATTTCATTTCCTACTTGAATTACTTACCATTTTGCTTGTTCATTTGTTCTTTTCTTACTGACTCACTGAACTATTATGTTGTTCACTGGAAAACTTACTTCGAAGTCATTTTTTACTGATCCTTTTCAGCGAATGCGGCTTGATGTGGAGTCAGTAACGCAGTTTACTACTCTGCCAGCACAGGACCGTATCACGCGGTACTTGGAGAGTCTGGGTGAACTCGGTGATGCGTCGGAAGAGCGGACACAGAAAGCTAAGGGAAGTGCGAACCCATCCCATCCCCCTCTTCTGTCCCATTTCCCTCCTCCTCCGCCGGTGCCTCCACCACCGCAACCCGCACAGCACCTTCGCAACCCTCGAGTGCTGCCCTCCGAGTAGGTCACTCCTTCTCTATCGCTCATGATTCAGATGAAGTGTGCATAAACGCAATTAATCCAAACTAATGTTAATGTTCTTCAAGACGACGCCGAAATGGGGTAGGACGCTCCGCCTCGTGTTACCAAACTGTCACCAGCGCGCAACTGCTACCGCCACTAGCCATGACTACCACTAACGGTTCAGTGGAGACACAGGAGAGCCTCCCGACCAACTCTACTCCTATTTCTGCAGTGGGTGAGACTGTCACACCCACCGACGATGTCTATCAGGTCAGTAGAGGGTTTCACAAATAATTAATGAGTTAATGTACTTGACAGACCTACTTACCATTTGCCCTTTTAGTCTCTCAACCAAACACTCTGGGCCTTTTAATCCTTTCATCTATTTCGAAAGCCCTTTTTGTGTGTTTCATCGCCTCTTTAAAAATACTTTGGAACTTCATTTAGCGAAATTCAATTGTGAAAACTACGACCAACTTGTTGAAGGTGGACTGGACATGCTAGTTAGGCTCCCATGCAATTGCATTTTTGCTTTTCCAGGCACCAAATTTGGCGCAAAGTAGCAGCGGTGGCGTTGCTAGTGTGGGGGCAGGGCAAACCACGGAAGTGTCCTCTGAAGTGGAGCAGGCGGAGCTGACTGCCTGCCTGAACACTCTCTCACTAGAAGCTACTGAACTCTCCACTGCCTGTCCCCAACTCGCTGCCGAGTTGTCCGCGCTCTCAGTGCAGCTCTCAGCCTGTCGCGGGAAGATCGAAGCGCGCCTACGTGCCTCTGCTAACGGAGTCGGCGGCAGTGCAGAGGAGGATCACTGCTTAGTGGGCATCGCACAGGCTCTACGACACATTCAACAGGCTCTCGCTGGAATGCGCGCACGAGTGGAGCAGGATGGAGAGGAAGCACGAACTCCCACCTCTCCTTCGTCGGCCCCCTCAACTGGAGCAACTGCTGCCACAAACGCCAATGTCACTACCGTCTCCACCTAGAGTGTGTACATATGCATGTCTCTATGCGCATTTACCGAAGCTGACATCAGCACCAACCTCCGCTACTTCTGCCACCGGTTTAGAGTCGAATTCCTCAACCTCCCGCTCGCTCCCTATATATTTCTCTCCTTTCTTCTCTTCTCAGTTTACCACGAACGTGTAGGTGATTGCTTGTCCTATTAGTATCAGTATCATGGCGGTGATGTGGATAGTGTGCGGGTGTGATTTTGACTTTGTTTGTCCTGCAACAATAAAATCCCTTTATTATTTCTTAATCGATGAACCCTCCTGTTGGGTAGAATGTACTGTGGGTAGGATACGGGCGCGCCAGCACTACGACATTCTGTTAGACTTTCGATTGAGCCCTTGGAACACGTCCGCTACGAATACACGTCAGTACTTTGGTGGCAGTGACTCTGAATTTCATATTAATGAACGGAAGTATAGAAACGGAGAGGAAGACTCATAAGTTTCTGCAATGATAGACTAGGTTACACCTTTTTTGCTGGAAGGTGGGCATTAAGTACAATCTCCGGTTACACGCATGCGACCTCCCAAACAGAACAACAGCAATGTGGGTGTGCTCTCTGCGCCACAAATGCATGCAGTGACCCAGGAATAGTCGCGCCGGGCAGATCGTTCAGATAAAAGCGGCTGTATTGGTGTCGAATATCCTCGATCATACAGCAACAGATATTAGTTTATAACGGCTGTTTATTTCGAATGACCTTCTCTGAAGTCTTGGTAATGAGAATAATGATATGACCAGGAGAATGCGTAACCAGTAAGCAAGGAGTGCACCTAGTGAATACCCTGAAATACCGAACTTGGATACGTATAGCCTGATTTATTAATAGGCGATTCGTACATTGATTGCGGAAACCCAGCAAGTCAAAATTAAAAATGTAGAAAGATAAAACATCTGGGTCTCCTGAGGTGCATCCCATACATATGACATAACAAACTAGACCGATGAATGTGCACATAGGTAAGAGCATTTAAACGATTTCTTTACAAGCCTCATCTGATTCCTCCGAACTGCCACATTTATCCTCGTAATCCTCACTGTCCTCAGGATCTGAGGGAGGCAAGGCGTCTGCATCCAAGTACGCCTCATCACTTTTGCTCTTGCCAGTCCTTCCTTCAGGTAAGTAAGTAAATATCCTTGGCCTAAAATGGAAGGTAATATCGAAGAATTTCAGTGTTTACCAATCAGGTGACTTGGCGAGGTCTAGAACCTGATCGTCACTCAGCAAACATACGACTTCCCCTTTTACCTTTGGCATGCTTAAAGGAGAGCAGATAACATAGGCATCTAAGACTCCCAATTGCTAATCTGGCATACTGGAGGAGAAAAAGTATGCATTCCTGAATTTTTCGGGAATAGACACAAAGATACTTTCGCCTTTTTCTGTGAGTGCTGAAAAGAGGCAATTGCCCTGAGACTTCAAAAGCTACAGCAATTGTAGTTGATGGAAAAT